CTGTCACTCCCCTCCCCCCACGTCCCCCTATCTCCGCGCTCCCGCCACATTCTGCCCGCAGCCGCCCACTCGCTGACACCCTTATTACCCCAACCTTATCTCCTTGCATTTTTAGCGATTAAAATGAGGGCGTACCCAGTGACCACTCTCTGCACCCCCCCACCGCCTGCCGGTCCCACAACCACCTCTCGAGTCCCGCTCGGTTACTTCAAGCTCTTACCGACTGCGCCAACCCTGGCGAAACTCCGCTGACTGCCCTTTGCTCGAAGTAATTTTTGGCGATTTTTTTAGTGATTTTTCTGTGGAGTTCTAGTGGCGATATACTCTCGGACAGGTTATCCCGCCTCACCCGCTAGATTGATGAGATCAGGCATCACTCGAAAATGGCGCCGAAAGCGCTGAGGCTCCTCATTCAAATTCGTTAGAGCCAACCCCGCCGCCCCGGGGCATGCCGGGAACGCGGGCTGCCTTCACAGCTGTCAATACAGCCTCTAACCCCCCCTTCTGGCTTTCCCAACACTTTTGCGCACGCGCAAACTCCTACTCCCCCCAACCCCCCGCTCAGTGCACATGCGCAGTATTATCGTTGTGCGCCGCTCTCCCATCGCTTCCTTTGGTAGCAATCCTACCTCTTTTTCTTGCGCGTGCGTGCAGCTCCTTTACTCAGCCGCGGAGGTGGAGGGCGGGTGGGGCCTGTGGGCCCGAGGGTCCATAGATGACGTTATCAGTTCATAGGCATTTAGTCTGGTGTTCGAGGAAAACAAGGGTGCAGCTTAAGCGAAAAGAAAAACGTCTTATTGCTAGTGTCTAAACTCATAACAGCAGAATGTGTTTCCGACTATGTGTATTATATGGATACACATGTACTTAAAACAGCGCTGCCTGTGTGCAGAGCTCTTGCTGTATGTCAACGCTTTACAGGAGTTATCACACTTAAGCATCAGAGCAACTTCATGAGGTAGGTACTATTATTATTCTCAGTTTGCAGACCAGGGAACCAAGGGTCATAGACTTAAGTATATTTGCCTAAAGCAGCACAGGTAGCAAGCACGTGGATGAGTGCATCTGTCAGATTCTGGAGCCTGAGCCTTTTACCCTTTTCCTTCCAGTGCGATTCAACCTGAGCACACACAGGAGGCGTGGTTTCCCCTGCTCGACGTGTGTGTGCGTGCGTGTGTGTGCGCGTGCGTGCGCGCCCGTCTGAAGGAGTAAATTTTCTGGAGTCCTTCCCAGTCCTGGGCTGCCTGTTGAGAAGTCTCCTTAATCGAATCCAGCTTCCCTCACCATCCTACTTGTCCTTAAAAATTCTTTCGGTTTGGGAGAGGTGAATGGGTGAAAGGGCAGGCTTTGGGTGTCATGGCTATTAAAAAAAAAAAGGTGCGTTAAGTGAATTGAATCTAGCAAACAAGGGTTTCTGTTGTGCGACGCACTGATAAATATCTAGTTGCCATGTATTGCGTGTACTCTGTGATGGGCACGGTGCTAAATAAACAATTTATGGATCAACCCTGTTTATTGCTAACAACCTCAGAAGTAGGTATTATCATTTTACACACGAGGACACCCGAAGCTCAGATTAACAAATTCACTCCAAAGGCTTACAACTAGTAAGCACAAATCCTAGGCAAATCTGTGTTCACCTTTTAAAACGGGGCGCTATGATAGGACAATAAATGATGATAAAGTTGTCAATATTTTAACACCTTAAAAACCTCATTTGCTTGGGAGAGTTATTCTACCTGCCACTAGGCTAGTTAAGATAAAAAAAAATAAAACCTGCCACTGATCCTAAATGGTTACAGTTTAAGAATATTTTTAACTGGTTGCTTTTTCCGATTCCAAGGTATAATGAAATTTCTGAAGAATCCAACATTTTAAAATCAGGGGTATTGCTATGTGCCCCCCCCCCCAAGTTTTTGTTGCAAAACAACTTGTGAAGAACCATAACTGTTTAAGTATATGAAAACATCTATCACTGTGAGGGTTAAATTAGACAATGGATATGAAAGTGCCTGAAGCACTAAGAAGTAAGGAAATGGGAGAAGGCGGGCACAATTGCATTATTGAAACGGATTTTAATAATTTGAGATCAAGAAGTAACATGGCTGAGTAGTATGTGTGTCTTACATCTGTTTCCTACTTTTGTGCACAGATTGGGTGGACTGTGGAATCAAACTCTTCATTTCAATTTCATCTCTGCTACTTACTAGCTGTGGTCCTACACGAATTACTTTTTCTCACGTTGAATTTATGTAAAAGAAGTAATGCTAGTATCTCAGTGGGTTGTTGTAAGGATGTAAATGAGCTAATATATTAAAGGCATTTGAACAGTGCTTGGCATATTAGTAAATATTAGATAACAGTCTTTAACAGTTATCTTTTAAAATGGCTTCTTTAAGAGTGTTTTAAAAATCAAACGATAGTGTCATGTTCAAGAGTCCCTTAAAATGATAAATCATGCTGATGTAAGATTTTGCCAAATATGGGTAATGATTTGTCAGTTGAATAAGAATGGTAGTTTGTCTTACCATTCCACAAGAGTAACATGGAAATGGAATGGTTTTATTGTTTTTTTTTTCTAATTATTACAGTTTAAAAAATCAGGCCAGTCTAAACTTATAAAGTAAAAACTATCCAAATTTCTACTTCCAGAGATAATTACATATTCTTTGTATTTAAAAAAATATATAATTTACTTGTCAGAAGAATTAGCTAGGAGAAGTCTAGATAAGTGACATATATGGGGAACTTATTTGCAACATTGGTATTGAACTTCATAAATTGGTAAATTTTTGATCTAGCCCTCATTTACTAGAGTCTGTCAAGAGAGTGAGTATATAAAATTTATGATGTTGACAAATAATAACATCGAGTACCTACTACGTGTCAGGTACTGTGCTAATAAGCATGTATATATGCATTTCCCCTTGAATCCTTATAATAACTAATGAAGTGGGTGCAATTATTATTTTATTTAGCACAGACTAAAGTTTATATGGAGGTTACTTTTAGATTTAAGTCCTGTTTTGTTTGAAATATTTAATAAACCCCAAATCCTTCATTAAATCTTTTCAATTCACGAAAATGGGAGAAAACAAAATCAAGGAGCATGGTTTCTATACCTGAACAAGAAGCCCAGCTGGAAAAAATGTTTTGAAAATGAAGAATTTTATGTTTGACCACAAGGGGGTGTAAACTCCTGAGTTGAATTTTAAAAGAAAAAAGAAAAAAGGGTTTTACTTCAGACCATCAAATTCACAGGTAAAAAAAAATAGTAAGAATACCTTTCCTAAATTTTAATACTCTACAAAGTGATGTACTCTATGAAAAGAAAAAATCGAATTATTTAGGTACTAAAATAGGGCAGTTTTCAGCTTTCTTTCATCTCGAATACAGTGAAGAGTTCATCATCCTTTCTCCCCACCCCCTTTCACCACCCCAGTTTGTCTCTGCATACTCCTCTTTACCTGTCGTAAGAGTAGAATTGAAGTCATAATTTCAAATATGAGGTTTTACTTGGAAACTGGAATGCAGTCATCAGCTAATGAATAGTAAATATGCATAGTGTGGAGAACAGAGACTTTGTACTTTCAATGCTTGTTTTGTTATTTCTCTCCTGCTATTTCTAATGAATAAACTATGACTGACAGAATGTTGGCTTCAACATATTAACTTATTTAGGTAAAATTGTGAAAGCTATAGGTCTGTTATCTTTTAAGAAAGAATGAAAACTCTTGAAAAACATTTTGAACAGTATCTTGAAAACTTAATGTGTACTAGTGAATGTTTTAAAAACAATTTACTTAGATGAGTACTTTTTATTTTCCTATTGGTCTTCTCTGAGGTGGACTTAATTTTAAAAAGCCTTTTTATTTGGAAATAATTTCAAATTTATGAAAAGTTGGGAAAATAAAAATAGTTCGAAGAACACTCATATCATTTGCTTGCTCTTATGCACAGTGTCTCTCTTGACATTTATGTATCTTTAGATACGATTTTTTTCTGAGCGATTTAAGTTACACACATTCTGGCCCTTCACTCCTAAATACTTGAGAGTGTATTTCCTATCAACTTCATAAATTTACACTGAAATACTTTAATCTGCCATCCATATTGCAGTTTTGTAGGTTAGTCCTTGTATCATTTTTCTCTCCAGGATGGGATCCAGTCTAGAGTCAGGTACTACATTTAATTGTCCTGACTCTTTAACATCCTTTACTTTGGAACATGTCCCCAGCCTTTAAAAAAAATATTTAATTACCTTGACATCTTTGAGGAACGCAGCTTGTCCCCCCACCTCCCTTTTTTTAAAAAAAATAAATTTATTTATTTAAATTAGTTTCAAGTATACAGTACATTGGTTAGACATCTATAATGTTCATAAATGACCCCCCCAATTCCTCACCTTCCTTTTAATGGAATATTTATTTTGTTTTTGTTTGATGTTTCCTCATGATTAGATTGAGGTTATGCATTCTCAACTGGACTACTGTGCAAGTCCTTCTCAAGGTATCACTTCTGGAAGCATATGAAATCCATCTATCTTTCACTGATGATATTAATTTTGATCACCTGGTCCATATGTGGCTTGAATTTCCATTGTATAGTTACCGTACTTTTTTTCTTCCTGGCAATTAATAAGAAATTTGTGGGAGACATTTGAAGATATATCCTGATCTTCGTCAAAATTCTCATTTAAATTCAGCATCAGTTATTAGTGATATAATTTTACCATGATGGTTCCAAAAGGATTCAACCAATCTAGTACTCCCTCCACATTTACCGACCACTTGGCCCACAGCATTCTATTGCAAAGAGTCCTCTCTTTTCCCCTATTTATTTATTTATTTATTAATTATCTGCCATTAACTTATGAACTCGTTTTTCCACTTCTGTATTTTTTCATGTGTACTTTCTATCTATATATATTTTGTACAATTGTTTTCTGAACCAGTTGACCTTTCATCTCTAAATATTTAAGTCTATATTTAATTATTTTGGTGTTCAAATTGTCCCAGATTTAGCTAGAAGAATCACCTTGAGTCTGGTTCCTGGGTCTTTGTGACATGCCTACATAATTTTTTTTTGAGCACTTCCTTACTTTGTAATATAATAAGATGTTCCATGTTTATCTTGTCCTTACCCTGCCCCATCCCTGGAATTTGCCTCTTCTCTATGGAACTCTGTTTCCTGTTAGTGGAGAACAATATTAGAGACCAAGGCTAGGGGTGCTCATTGCTACTGTTGTGTCTCTACTTCTTGGACCTTTCAGATGCAGAACTAGGAAATGCATGTGTGTATGTGTGTATACACACACATAAATAGGCACATACCAATATATACACATATGTTAATGGCATGGGTTTAATTTTAAGTTATTTTTATTGTAATTATACTTGAGAAGATGTCATAGCAACGTTTATAAAGTTCTGAACAAAGGCAGTGAAATCATAGTCTGCACAAACCCTCATACAATTTTCAGGTTCCCTTTTAGTCAATGTCTGTATATCTAATTTTATAGGGTTGTAGTGTGAAATTGTTTTGTCTTTTTCAACTTAACATAAGTGTCTGAGTTACTATATCATTTTACAACCTTCATTCCAAATTGCTCTACTACATATCATTTAGCTGATTCTACCATTCATCTGTTGCTGGTATATAGGTTGTTTCCAATATTTTGCTATTATAAATAATTCTGAACTGAACATTTTTATGCATATGCCTTTCCTAATTGACTTTCTCACTTATTTGCTTATTTAATAGATGTCCCAGATGTAGAAATACAAGTTCCCCAAATGCAGGTATGTTTTGATGGGTTTGATATGTACTGGCACACATAATTAATCAAACATTTACCTTATCAGAATTGGATAGAGATGAAAAATATGTAGTCTCTGTTAGCAAGAAGCTGAGAGTCTAATGGAAAAAACAAATTTTTTAAAGAAATTATAATTTGATAAATTTAGAGGAGGAACATTTAACTCAGGTTAGGTATAGGTGTTTCAGGAAGGCTTTTTAGGATGAGGTTACAGTTGAGTTGTATCTTGAAGGATAGCTTTGTAGAACTATCTTGAAGAATACCTTAATAGAGCTTTTAAAGGATTGGAGTTATCCCAGTGTAAAAGAGTAGAAATAGGCCATAGAAAGCATTTAAAGCAGAATCACTGGAGTGTGAGAAAACAGGGAGGTTCAAGAAAATTCAGGTATTTAACGTGATTTATTACCGAGGCACCTTTGGACAAAGTGAGAAAAGTTAGCCTGATCAAGTGGATAGAGGCTAAACCATGAAGGGCCTTACATGTCACCTTTATATTGATGTAATTGAAAAATCTTAAACCAATGAGTAACATGATCAGATTTATATATTAGAAATTCACTTTAACAAGGGTACTGGAGAACAGATTAGAAAATGCAAGAGATTAAAAAAGAAAACTGTTCTCATGTTGATGGTACAAGTAAATAAAGGTTGGTGGGAATGTAAATTAAAACCGCTTTTGGAAAGTAATTTAGCAATATATAAAAAAGGTTATAGAAATAGTCACATCTTTCCTGCCAGAAATTCCAATTTCAGGAATCTAGTATAGGTGAAATAAATCCAAAATATGGAAAAAAGATCCTCATTCCAGCATTAAATATAATAGCAAAAAAAAAGAGGGGGTAGGAGAACGAAATGTCTAATAGTAGAAAGATTATTGAGTAGATTGTGGAATGTCTACTGCATTTACTATTATCATCATCACAAAATGATGCATACCAATGTGGATAAATGTTTATAAGTGCAAGATGTAAAGAAATAATGAGCATGATTACAACTACTAAAAACACACAGAGAAAAAAAATACTTAAAAACTTTCAACTCATATCAAGGTTTTCTGATCAAAGTTAAAAATATACATGTTAAAAAAACCAATCTAAAATTTGGAATCGTTGACATCACCAAACTGTACTTCTAAGTAATACTGGTGTTCAATGAGCTAGTCCAGTGATTTTGAAACTTTGAAAATTTGTTGTAAGTTTTAGGGTCTAGAGACCCTTTCTCTAGAATCATGCACACATGTGAACAGTTCACATAATTTCAGACATGGATGGTTGATGAACATCCTGAAGAAAAATAGAAGAAAAATTATTTATATACGTATGGTACCAGAATAATAGTCCTCCCAAAGACGTCCATGTCCTATCCTCCAGGATCTGTGAATATGTTATGTTAAATGGCAAGGGTTGCAGGTAAAATTAAGGTTTCTATTCAGATACCCTACATAAAAGTAGATTATCCCAGATTATCTGAGTAGGCCCTTTGTAATTACAAGGTTCTTCTAAAAGTGGAAGAGGGAAGCAGAAAAGTCAATGTCAGAGCCATAAGATGTGAAAAAGACTCAACCAGTTATTACCCGTTTTGAAGATAGGAGGGGGCCATAAGTCAAGAAATGAGGACATCCCCTAGAAGCTGGAAAAGCAAGAAAACAGGTTCTTCCCTAGAGCCTCCAGGAAGGAATGCAGCTCTGCCCATATTTTGAGTAGCCTACTGAGACTCATTTTAGACTTCTCATCTCCATAACTGTAAGATGATAAATTTCTGTTGTTTTAAGTCACTAATTTTAGGGTAATTTGTTACAGTAGCAATAGGAACTAATATTCACATAAACGGCCTTTTTGTCTGTGTTGATGTGTGGCTGAGGTAGTGAATATGTATGTATACATACATATATAGATATATTTCCTGGTTTTGAAAGTTTCCTGATAGCCAGGACTGTCTGTTTTTGTCCTGTGTCTTTAGCATAGTTATTGGCATTGATAAATATTTAATGGGAATGAATGGTACTCAGCAGAGGGAGTCAGGATCACCAATTGCTCTGCCATCTGAACATATTTGAGAATCACTTGTTTTATTGTATTATGGTCTATGTATTCTTATTAACTGTGGGTTAAAATTGTGAAGAATAGTCTACAGCCATGCTACCCTGAACAAGCCCAATCCTGTCTGATCTCGGAAACTAAGCAGGGTTGGGCCTGGTTAGTACTTGGATGGAAGACTACCTAGGAAGACCAGGTGCTGTAGGTGTAAAAATAAAAAATAAAGGATTGTAAGTTGACGAGGTCCTTGCAATCTATGAGGTCAACCAAGGGTTGCCTCTCCCCCGCCCCCCAAAAAAAGAAAATTATGAAGAATATAAAATGGTAAATATTTGTTCTGGATTGAATGTGAAGGCTATTTTCTAATTGAAATAAATTGATATTTACTGAGTATCTATTATGAACAAGGCATGTTTTAAGGCTGTTTTGTACTTGTTTATTATCATATATTTAAAACACTGTGCTATAAATAGCTATGCTTAGGATTTTCACCCTCCAGAAATATTATAACTACTAAACTAGAAGAATTATAATAAAGGCAAAGAGGACAAGATTTAATAATGGCTGGTTTAAAAATGCTTATAACCTGTGTCCTGGATCCACAGCTATTTATTTTCTATGAGTTTTTAATTTTCAAATTTAATATTTACTTGAAAATTTCAAATTAAACTTCTAATCATGTTAAGTATATATATGTACTATATATATATACACACACACACACACACACACACACACACAGACACACACACACATACCAA